GTTGATGCCAACTCACCCCAGGTCTGGAATGCCGCCTCCAGAAGCCGGGGTACCCCAGCCGAGAAGAGGTGAATGTTGTCGAATTCCTTCTTCTTGTATTGCATGCCTCCCCACTCTGCCATGGCCCGTCTGGCGGCTTGCAGCGACAATGGCGCCAGAGCCGGTACTTCCTGGACCTTAAGCGAGGTGTACTCCTCCGATGGCCTATCGGTCAAGATATTCACTGTGCCTGCCGAAAACATGCCCATCTTCTGCGGGAATTCGCCAAATATTTCGGTGAAAGCTGATTTCTGTCCACCACGGTGGCTCAGTCCCTCGACCTCATGATTCACAAGCAGCTCTGCCTGATCGAGGAACACCAAGCAAGCGCAGTCTGGTGTTGCGTTGAAGGCTGCAGCCGTCACCAACAGCCACTGCTTGAAGACATCCGCCTTGTGTTGACAAGATGAGCGAAGCCAAACTTCAAAGCTGTTGCGCCCCTCATTTGGTGCCGATGCACGCTTGATGGCCTTCAGCACTGCAATGAAGTTCATTCGCTGAAAACTCACCACCCGCCCACTCACTTCGATGCTGTAGCCGTGCAACAACTGTGACAGGTGCCACACGACGATAGCAGAAGCAATCCAACTGGGCTCTTCCCGCAACGCCAACTTTGAAATCTCTCGCGCATCAAGAACCAAAAGCCGTCCACATCTTCGGCTTTCTGCAAAGCACGACACCTTCGAAGCCAGGTGGCGGATGAGCGATGTCTTGCCGGTGCCCCTTGGGCTCCACAAGGCCAAGACCGTCGGCTTGTTGGTCCCATTCCTTTGGATCTGTTCTATTTGCTCCAGAAGACTCCGAACAACCGCCTCCCTTTCTAGAAACGGCCTCTCATCCTTGTTGTTGATTCGGCTGTTCAAAAAGCGGTCTTCGAAGTCCAAGAGATCTGTGGCGCTAAAACGAGGGAGCTCAACCTGCGCGGGAGGCGCATGAGGGAATGCTGGGAAGGACAAACAATCACAACAAACCAAACACGCATCGGCAATTGGTGAGAAAATCGATTGCTAGCAGGTTCCTTCCCACTGGCTCATGTTTCTTGCAAAACGCTAACCATTCACAACAGATCACAAAGAAGCATGGGTACTTAGTGCGAAAGCCGAGCACTAGGAAAGCAAGGAACACAAGTAACACAAGGGTACCAAAACCGAAACAAAACCAAATTCCAGCAGGAACACTGCCCATGAAAGCAAAGCGGGAGATGCGTGGTTCAGCTCAACAATCCTTTTGTGGGGCTCCACGCTGAGCAAAACCACTGAGTTCCCAGGAACCCCGACAAGGTTGATGAGGGGGGAGAGTGGCGTCAAATATGTTGAGGTTCTGTGGATGTGATCAGGGCAGCCCCACTGAAAGCATTTCCGCGGGGAAATCAAAACCACACAAAACGTCAAACGGCACGTCTCAACGTCACCCGGCAGCAGAAATACATTGTGCACACTTTAGCAATCTCCTCCATGCTCGTGCTGTCGGAACAAAATTTAACCTTCGGATTGCATTGTGTCTGCAGCAGCAACGACCATGGCAGAAGGGTAGGTCTTGCTCTTCAAAAGGCAGGCGACTGGAACAGCAGGCTCTTCAATATTTGCGGGTTCCCCCTCGACTGTTTGATAGTTTTGCGCTAAACACTCACACCAAATCAGGCAGATATGAACAGGTACAGAGAAAAATGAACAACAGAACGGGATGGAATGGCAGCAACACGGGCAAAACATGGGCAAGAACACCGCCAGGGAGATCAAAGAGAACATTCATAGAATGCACTTGTGCCTGCAGCAGCAAGGACCCCAATGGGTGCAAAGACGTCAGAGTTTGCCCTCCCTCTCCCCGGCAGACGGGCAGGTCTTGCTCTTTCAAAAGCAGGCTGGGGGCAAGCGCAAAATCACTCACAACGATCAACGGCACGTCTCAATCAATGTCGACCAGCAGGAATGACCGACCTCCAACAAGGAAAGGCAACCATCCGTTCATGGGGGCTCCATACCGAGCCTGCCAACGACACGAACCGCCGCAATCTGCAAAAATGCTATCTTGGGATTTCCTCATTCGGATGTTGATCAGGGCAGCCCCATTGAAAGCATTTGCGGGCCGCGGGGGGAATTCCTCAAACCGCACGCAACGACCAATGTCTCAGAACAAAGTCAAGAGCAAACGATTTTCCAGCCGTGCCTGGGGCTCCTGCAACAACTGGATCTTCTTGGTCAGCAGTTTTGCAGGGCCCAGTGGGATTCCAGCTGCAATCTGCTCGTCCAGTGTCAGCTCCAGCAGGGACTTGCCGGTGACGCCCTGCTGCTGCAGTGTCGTCACCGTGCGCTGGATGAGCTCATCTCTCACCTTGCCCTCGTTCAGCACCGCTTCGGCCCAGCTCAGAACCTCCTCTTCGCCAAAAGCCTCCACCTCCTCGCGGCTCTTGGCGAGCCAGTCCTGCCAGCACTCACCAACAACCAAGCCTGGCGCATGCGAGCCCCCGGCCTCCGCACCACTGTCCTGGCACGATTGCAACCGGCCAAATTTACAACTGCTGATTGGAGCGTCCTGCTGCGGGCTGGCGCGCGAAGCAACTCCGCCACGCCCAGGGTGCCAGCTTGTCACCTCAAGAGCTGAAATTTAGGCAAAAAAATCACATCAACGCCGAGATCTGGACCTGTGCCCTGTGGGAATCCTGGCGGACCAATTGCACCAACTCGACTCACACACCCCAGCTGTGCGCACGAACCGACGGCCTCTTCCAAGCCCTTTTTGGTTGCTTTGGCCTGCGTCGCACGAAAACCGCTTGCGAATCTCAGACAAAGCACGCAGTCCTGCCTCCTCCACAAACTCGCGCAGTTTTTGTTGCAACTCGTCTTTCTTCCCTGAAAGGGTCCACTTCCCTGGATATATCTTCTGCGCTTTTCCTGAGCTCAACACTTTCACCGCTCTTGAAAACCCCGACCCACGTGCTGCTCCAGCGGCGCAAGACGGCTTTGGTCTCTTTCACCGTGCCGTTGTCCTCCAGCACCCTGTCGGCTTCTGCGACCACCTGAGCGAGGCCAAGCTGGGACGTCGCTTTCTCTGAAGGTCCGCCGCCTCCTCGAGATCGCGCCGGTCCTGACAACCAACAAGCCCAACGTTCAAGCCCGATGCACGTGTCCCCCAGGCCTGGCCACTGTTGTCCTGGCGGCAACCGGCAAACGATGCGAACAGGCTTCGGGTCGGAGGAGTCCTCTTGTGCAGCCCCGGCGCGCCGAGCGACTCCGGCATGCAACGGGTGAAGGCCCGCCGCCTCCTCGAGATCGAGCCGGTCCTGGCAGCCAAGAAGCCCAGCGTTCTGATGCACATGTCCCCCAGGCCTCGGCATTGTTGTCCTCGCAACTGCAATCGTCCAAACTTGCAAGCTTTGGGTCCGAAGGTCCTCTCGTGCAGCCCTGGCACGCAAGGCGACTCCAGCATGCAACCAGCGCTGGCTCGATGCCTCACTAAGCTCGCAGGATGCGAAAAGGGTCAATCTGCTTGCGTTAGTGGACAAGTCTGAAGATTGGGCCGGTGCGCCGTTGCGGTCCTCGCATCACAGCACAAGCAGGAACATTCGCAAAGAGGGACTTCACGGTCCTTCCGACCGGGAACTCCTCGCGAAAACTCGTGGGCGGCGGACAGGGACTCCTGAAGCCCGAACGAGTCAGCTGCCAACCCCTCAACGCTCCCAAGACTCAGGCCGTGCTCGGCCACTGCAATGAGCAACGCCAGCGCATTCCCAGGCTGAGGCACGCACCTTGCAAAACCACACAACAAACAGCGCAGCATATCAGCTTGCGGGCCTTGGCTTTTTATCCTGGCCCTCATCACAGCCATGGCCATTCCTGAACTTCACGGGCCTGCAAGGCAAATCCTACCGCTGGATGCGTCGGCAATGTTTGCCCAGTGCCTTCAAGCATTTGATGAGCACTCTTGGGCGGCGGACGACTTCTTGCGTGCCAACATGTCCTTGCTGCTTCGTGTTATGTTGGTCCGCGTGTTCACGACCCTACGCGGCTTGTTTACTAGCACTCTGGTTGCCGCTGGCGCTGCTGGAGCCGTCAAAGACGCCACCTTGCCGATGCCCTTGCACTGGACTGACACTCAAAGCTCCTTTCGCTCCCCGAATGCCTCAAATTGCCTGTACAGTCACAAAGATCAACTATGCTATCTCGCCGCCGGGGGTCAAAAGGTAAGGGTCTGCCAATACACTTCAAGAGCATTGTGAACTTCGCATGGAGGCGGACACTGCTGATTTTTACATGGCTGGCATCCTTCATGGAAGAAGAGCGTGTCCCCGGCCTCGGCACTGTTGTCCTGGCGGCAGCCGGCAAAAAATGCGAACTGGCTTCGGGTCGGAGGAGTCCTCTTGCGCAGCCCCGGCGCGCCGAGCGACTCCGGCATGCAACGGGTGCCGTTTTGCCACCTGAAAGAGCCAAAGTGCAATCTGCTTGCGCCTGCGGGCAACTCTGAGAACTGGGCCAATATGCTGTCCTGGCACTCAGCACGAAACAAGAACATGCAAAGGAGGGACTTCATGCTCCTTCAGCCCAGGAACTCCTCGAGCAAAGTCCTGGGCGGCGGCGACAAGGGACTCCTGAAACCCGAAAACCTTCGAAAAAAAATGTGTCCCAAGACCCAGGCCGTGCTCGGCTGCACGAGCAGCGCCAATGCAATCCCGAGAAGGCAGAGGCACATACCTGGCCGCTGCCTACCGCGGGCACGGTAGCGTCACAAGCTTGCCAGCCTCGGCTTTTGGTCCTGGTCCGCATCATCGCCATGGCTATTCGAAAAGCGCTTGAGCGGCCTGCGATTCCTCAAGCACTGGCACTAGACCCATCGGGCAACCATTGCGAGCTGTTGTTGTGTCAGTGTTGATGAGTACCCTCGAGCCAAGTTTCCAGAGCAAACACAAGATTGACTGGCTTCTTTGGCAACACCAACGCACGGGTTTGGATGCTCCTCCTCCTTTTCACTCGCGGCCTGAAGGTCGGTCGGGCCAAGCCTTGCAAGGCTTCGCAGCGTCCATCCGTCAGACTGGCTGACCCACATCCTGCCGCTGCATCAAAGTCCAAGCGAGATACCAAACTGGCCTGCCTGCAAAACAAGCAGCCGAAATCGGCACCGGGCCGCCAGGGGCTGAAGGGCGGGGGTTTCTGGGGTCCCTGGGATCACTGGGGCCTCTGGGGTCCCTGGGTCCCTAGGGTCCCTACATTCCCTAGAGTCCCTAAGCTCCCTAAGGTCCCTAGGGTCCCTAGAGTCCCTGGGGTCCCTGCACACGTGTGCATCAGACGTCTCGCCAAGGCCCCAGAGTGCGCTCATCCCTGTCAACGCACGGCGGGTTCAGGGACCTTGGGGACCTTAGGGACCTTAGGGACCTTAGGGACCCCTTAGGGACCCTAGCAACCCTGCAAACCCTACCCTAGGGACCCTAGGGACTCCGAGGACTTCAGGGACCCAGCGACCCAGGGACTTCAAGAGATCCTTGGTGGCCCCAAGGATTTTGGGGCTTGAAGGGATCTTGGCAAGAACTTCACGCCGGGTACCACTCAGCCTGGGCATTCTCCAGCATCATAGGGTCATGCAAAAACACAAAATGCCGAAGCCAACACACACACACACACACACACACACACACACACACACACACACACACACACACACACACACACACACACACACACACACACACACACACGCACACATTGCAAATGGGCCACAACACCACAACATAATCTCCCAACTACAAACACGGATGTAGAAAACACCATGTAGAGACATACCAACACAAAGGCACAAAGACATAAAGATATAAAGATATAAAGAGAAAGGTATAAAGATACAAAGATATAAAGATATGAATTTGTAGAAATACAAAGATATAAATATATGAAAATTCATAAAGAGATACAAATACGTAGAGATATGAAGATATAAATGTATGAAAATAAATAGATATGAGTACACGAAGATAAATAGATGTATGGCAAGTTGCTCGAATGGAAAAACAACAGAAGCTTTGCCCTTCCGTGCGTCTTTGTGTCCCCTTGCCTGGCAAGCTGCAACCAACCGAAGCTTGAGAGATGACTTCACACTTCACAGGATCTCTTGCCCCCAAGACCCAGGGTTGCTGGGGTCCCTAAGGTCCCTGGGGTCCCTAAGGTCCCTTAGGGTCCCTAAGGTCCCTAGGGTCCGTAAGGTTTCTGGGGTCCCTAAAATCCCTGAAAACGCCGTGTGTTGACAAGGATGGATGCACTTTGGGACCCTGGCCAGACGTCTTGATGGAAGGACGTTGTTTCATGGCACCTGCAGCGGACGCACGCGTGCCCAGGGACCCAGGGACCCCAGGGACCCCAGGGACCCCAGGAACCCCAGGGACCCTAGGGATCGCAGGGACCCTCGGGACGGACCGTCAGGGCTTCACTGGGTCAAAGATAAAGATCAAATGACAATAACCTGCACGGGACCTCTTGGCCATGACAATGGAACGCGGCGAGGGCCCGGGCGGAACGTGGAGCTCGAGGCGCAAGCTCAAAAGTTCGGAGTGCCTGAGCGCCAGGAAAAAAAATACGATTTTGAGGAAACCACGCTGCCTGACTTACAAAAGAAACCTGACAGTACGACTTGACGGGGTTGGGGCAATCGCTCTTAAGGTCAAGGGTTCACCAGGTTGGAGAGACAATACAAAATGCGGGCCTGGCTCAACGAGGTCACGATTTCCAAAGATACACGGGCCTGACGGCGCGGCTTGACGGGGTTGGGAAAAGCACACAAAAAAGCAACGCGAGTCGCGCAAATCCTGGCACGGGACGGGGGGGGGTGTCCGGGCCTCGCTAGGCCAAAGATCAGGGGGCCTGACAGATTGGCGAGTTGGGACCCAAACCTCAAAGATCAGTTGGCATTGATGGCCATGACAACGGAAGCAGCGAAGGCCCGGGCAGTATGCCTCGATGTCAAAACAAAGCCTGGCACGGGGAAGCGCGAAAACACGACCTTCAAAATCCAGGACCAAACCTGAAACACTGCTCAAAGGCCGAGTTGACACCAATCCGCACAGGTGCCCAGCCAAAGAGTCCCCAGTAGCACGAATTGGATCCACCTGCAAGCGGCCAACAAAAAGTAACAAAAAGGCAACTCGCGGCGCTGCGAGAAGATCTGCACGTCGAAGTCTGGGCACAGGGCACGTGAGGTCAAGAAAAACTGTGAGTCTGAAACCACGCCTTTGCACCCGCGAGCGGTTCCCTGCCGCCCCGTACCCCAGAGTGTCCCCGAATCTCGCCTTCACAAGGCTCACGTGTTTGGGGAAGCTCTTTCCAAACACGACCGACAACGTGAAAATCGTGAGAAAAACGCAACACCGGCAACCTGTCATGCAAAATCACGCTCAAAAACCATGCAAAACTGAATTTACGGAAAAACAGACAAAACGTGTTTTTTCCAGAAATGGCGGCCCTCGAGCCGCTTGAGCCAGGGCCGTCCCTTTGGTCGGACCATTTTGTTGTCCGCCCTCTAGGAAAAGGACCGGCAAGCAAAAGTCAAGATGACTACCATCGCCACTAGCGTCGCCCTGGGCGAGGTGCAGACGAGCCCCAAGTATCGTCTGGCAGTCCGCGTGGACTCACGTCGGGAGCCCAGCAGCTTCGGCGAGGACCAAGGACCCAGGCAGAACGCCTGCCTTGCGATGGCAAGGGATTCCGAGGCCTGGGCGGCCTGGGAGGAATTCGAAAAGAGGTGCGTTAACGAGCTGTCTTCGCGGTCGAGCCGCATTTGGGGCGACTACGGCGATGTGAAGGACAGGTGGCAGAGCTGCCTCAAGGAGTCCCGACGGGGAGCGACCTTCCTGAAGTGCAAACTGGACGCGCGGAACGTCCGCGCAGAACGTCCGCTGAGACACCGACGCAAAGATCCAAAGGCCCGAGGCTGGCGGGCTGCGTGCCAGGCCCGCGTCGAGGCCTGGTCTGGATCATGGCAAGCAATGCGGCCTGGTGGAGGTCTTGCCCTTTCTGACGTAAGCGAACGCGCCCGTAACTTGAGAGAACAGCGAGGCCCCGGGGCACCCAGGGACCTAGCGGACTTACGGTTCGGCAGCAGGGCGCTCAGCTCGTCCAGCTCGTGCTGGTTGCGCAGCCTCCAGCAGCAGAGGAATTGCATGTCACCCGCACGGCTGCGCTGATGAGCCTCAGCTTCTGCGAGCTCACCCAGGTGCTGATCTGCATGTGACGGCCTCGGACGAAGAGCGTGTCAAGGGCGCCGTGCGGCTTGTGGAGTTGCGGATGACTACAAGCACCTGGTACAGTTTCTTCATTTCCAACTTCTTGGACGCTTCCGTGATCTTGCGCTGCTGCTGGATGATGCGCCGCAATGCGGACTCATCCCACTCGTCCCAGTAAGCCTGCTCACGCTCCGTGTTCACCCCCAGGTCCTGCTCAATGTCTGCTTGACGGGGATCCAGCAACACGCCCTTGTACTGCTCCAGGATGAAGCTGATGAGCGCCACGGTCTTGCCCGACTTGCTGGGCGCGAGGAAGATGCCCGTGCGTGGCACCAGGGGCACCACGTGGTGTACTCGGGCGTGGGGAAAAACTTGATCTTCCCCGTTCCTTTTGCGTCACGCAAGTTCCGGAAGCCGGCCAGCGAGTCCAGGACCTGAAAGTAAAGGCCGGCATGCAGCTGAAGTATATGGGCAGTAGTCGTGGCTGGCTCCACACCTGGACCTGCTGGGGCGACGCGCCGGAGGTGCGTGGCGCGGACACGTCGAGCCCGTTGTGAACCTGCACCGCTGCTACTTAAGGCGAGACCCGGTCTTCCTGCCTTTTTGGCGCGCCTGGCGGGGCGCGACGTGGACAAGCACTTCTACTTCAGGCGCCTTCTGCTGGGCGCAACAGCTTCTCAGGAAAGTGGGCCACTGCCTCCGAGCTGCGTGCGGCGGCTGCAGCTGCCACCGTCCAACGTGACTGTGCGGCGCCAGGATGCGCTGGCCTATCTACCCAGCACCCCAGCAATGCATTTACGCGGACCCTCCCTTTTTTTTCCCCGGTCGTGTCATGAACTACTACAGCACGAGGGGGCAGGGCCACGGCCTTGCACTCATCCAAGACGCGCTCTTTGCAAGCGGCCTGCCCTTCGGTGCGTCAACGACGTGCCGGAGGCCCGGGAGCTCTCAGCAGGGCCGACTCCAAGCCTAAGGTCGGGCAAGAACAGTTCTAAGTCCAAGCATCGGGGCAATTCTGTTGTCGGCGCAGGATTGACGGAGACGCAACCCACTCACATGCAGCAAATGAGAGAATTCCAACCCAACCTCTGAGTCACCGTTGCGCTTAGAAAGCACTTATCAGCCTTTTCAAGCCACAAAGCTCCGCAACAGAAACGCACTTGCAAGGCCAGAAACAGCGCTTTAAGCCCGGGCAACTTGAACTTCCAAGACGCACAGAATGCGACTGGGACCCGTTTTGCCTGCATGTTGAAGCAAGCTGAAAACCCTTGCAGAAACGCAAGCAGAAGGGCTGTGGCTGCACCGCGCAAAACGAAGAAAATTTTCGCAGAATCCACATTTGCTGAATGATTCGCTCTGAGGATGCGCTGTGAGCGGTTTTAGATTTTACAAATAACAGAGAGAGGCACTGCTCGAGGTCGAGCGTCTGCACCACCGACGTCTCATCGAGCACCTCTTGAGGAGCTCTTCGGCGAAACTATGCGCAGCGAGGAGCTGGAGCGCGACAACAGATTTCTCCGCTGGCGGCTGGACCGCTTTAACGAGCTCTTTGACAAAGAGCGTGGCTGGCTAAGGAGCGTGTTGGGGAGCTGGAGCGCAGCATCGACGTTCTCCGCTGGCGGCTGGAGCGCCGCGCCAAGGTCCTCAAGGAAGAGAACGAAGACCTTCGCGAGCGAGCGGTGCTGGCGGAGGCGCGCGTTGATGAGCTTGAGAAGGATTTGGACAGGGCAAGGGGAACGCGCTAAAGAAAAAAAGCCCGCCGAATGCATGAAAGGCTCCAAATGCTTGAGTGGTCTCAAAAAAACCGCGCAGCCACTTATGACTTCCTCAGCGGCCTTCCGCACCATCAAGAAGGCCATGTTGCGTCGCGTAGCAGCCGAGCGGTCCGGCAGTTGCAGTGGCACCTTGCGCTGGCTGACATCCTAAGCCAAATTAACGGAAGGAAGCACGCTACCACGCAGGTGGCACCGAACCTTGCCCACTCTTCCCGAAATGGCTGAGATTGCGCAACATCGAGCGCGGGCCAAACACAAGGTGACCACTCGGAAATCAATATCGAATCAGGGTTAAACCGATCAAAAGCAGGGGCTGCTACAGGGTCAACGAGATAGCCTGGAGCAAAAAGGTGTACAGGGCAGCCTCCGCCGAAAAGTCCCCGAAATTCTTGATGTTCCAGAAATTATCAGCTCCTTGAACTCCCTCTTAAACTTGGAGCCGTCGTTGGAGTACACGTTGGCTTGGAACACCTTCTTTATGCCCGCCGTGCGGCCGGTCCTGGTTCACGGAGGCCGTCCAGAAACGCTGCTTCTCTCTGCGCCTGCCAGGCTTCCACCTCGTCCACCGGGCCTGGAAGCCCTTGCACACCACACATGTTCGGGCGTTTGTATGCTTGGCCTCCACGGAGTCGCAGAGCTGCTTGAGCTCTGCCAGGCCTTGGCAATCTCCGTCTTCACCCGGCTGTCTAACAAGTCCGTAAAGCTCGTGTTGCAGACCACGTTGCCCGTGTTGCCCGCAAGCACAAGGCAGCAGTAGTAAGGAAAGAAGGCCTATAGCACCCTAATTCATTTGGTTTTTTGGTCCCCAAACCCTGCAAAACAGCCGAATTCTTCAACCAGCTGAACGTCCGTTTTTGGTGCAAAAAGCACTCAAAACGGTCAACTCCGAAAAGCGCGTTTTTTCGTGTCAGACGTCAAAATGGTGCCCGAGCCTCCAAGTTCGCTCGTTTTCCGCCGAACCGGCTCCAGACGTTCGCCGTGCTCCGAAATCCGTTTTCTGCCCCGAAAAACCTGCGAATTCCAGCCCGCTGAACTCGTTACCGCTTGTCACCGCTTTGCTTTTTTGGGTGCAAAAGTGCGCAAAACCGGGCCCAGTTCCCGAGCTCCTTCTCCGCAGGGTTTTTCGCGGCCCGACAGCCCGCCGAGGACCAGGCTCGGAGTCCGACAGCCCGCCGAGGTGGTCCGTCAGCCCGCCAAGCTTGTCACCACTGATGTCACCGCTCCATCCGGCTCCGTTTTTGGTGCAAAAAGCGCTCAAAACGGTCGAGTCCGAAGAGTCCGTTTTTCCGTGTCGGACGGCGAGTGGGATGCCCGAGCCTCCAAATTCGCTGGTTTTCGGTGGAAAGCGGGCTCCAGACGACCACTTTGCTCAGTTTTCCGCTTTCGGCCCGGAAAAGCGGCGAATTCCAGCCCGCCGAGCATGTCACCGCTTGTCACCGCTTCGTTTTTGGGGCCAAAAAGTGCGCAAAAGCGCCCCAGTTCCCGAGAGGACTGTTCTTAGCAAGTTTGAGTCAATAATGGAACCGGGTGATTCATCAATGGCTCATGAATGGGCAAGGTTGGTTCATGAATGGGCAAGGTTGGCTCATGAATGCCCCGCAGGTCATAACCACTGAGACAAGTGTCCTATAAGACTATGCAGACGACGCATAGCTTCGCCGGTGAGGCCGAGGTGTCCCAAGCGCTTTGACCGGCGCCATCGGTCAATTCATCAGAGGTCTCATAAGTGAAGGACCTCACTTCACGTACTGGTAGCACGGGGTTGATATATAATTGTACCACCCTGCGCCACGAAGGCCCCGAATGACCCATAGCGACTCAAGTGAGGGCGTGTTGTGAAAGTACAACACCCCTGTGTTACAAGCACGTAACGACTAGTCCTAAGAAAACATGTTTGAAGGACCTGTCACGGGCAACATCCCGGAGGTCCTGGACAACGGAGAGGTAACTGACGGTACGCACGTCACAGCAGGGCAGCTGGCCCTCGCTTTGACGCCCTACGCCCAAGTAACTGACCTGGCGGTGAACACGGCAGCCTCCGGCAACAACGCGGCTGCCATCCAGTCCCTGGACGACCGAGTCACCGCCGAGCTGGCCTCAAAGCTGGACAGCAGCGCGCTGGCGCCGGCAATTGCGGTTCTAGCAACGGGCGGCCCTGGCGCGCACGGAAGCAGCATCGCAGCGCTGCAGAGCTCGCTGACCACGGGTCTCTCCAACAAGGCAGACCAGTCGGCCTTCGACGTGCTGGAGGGCGTGGTGGCCGCGAAGAGCACCCTGGACGGCGTGGACCTAAAGCTGTCCAACTACAGCACCACGGCGGCCATGAACGGCTCCATCGCCTCGGCCAACAACGCCACGCTGGCCACGGTGGCCGCCAACTACGGCCTCAAGACGGTGGTGGACCAGCACTCCCTAGACATAGCGGCGAGGATCACGCCGCTGGA